GCATAGACAGCCCCTTCTTCAAATTTATTGATGAATGTAGGGACGTTTATTGCCCTTATTATTGCAGTAATTCGACCACCCTTGAAAAAAAATACAAATAATATTGTAAGATATAGCGAAATACGATAAGAAGTTTTCAATCATTTATTGTAAATTATACGTCATTGTCATGAAAGACAATCTCTAGGATATTCTTGTAGGATGAGTAATCATTAGTCCTTTGAAAGACTCGAACGACCCTTAGCTTGATCATAGGTCTATTAGTCCTTGTCACTTGCTTGATGTTTCCCCAGGCTTTTGTCATTTTTTGGCTTCAATGCTTTACGTGAAAGTGGCAGTAATATTTTTTAGCAATACGTTCTGCAATATCATTCTGTCATTCTATAATATTTATAGGCATGGGATCATAGTTGATAAATATTAGATTAATTTAATATATGAGTTTTTAATAAGTCGAAAAACTTAACTAATTCATACCATTAAGAATTATCTGTTAACAAATATTTTAAGTAAAAAATGAATTTAGTAACGTGATTTATTATCATGACATATCTCTAAACCATTAATTAAATACAATTAAATTAATTAATGCTTCTCTTGTCAAACAGAATTCCCATCAAAAGGAAACGTGGCTTATCTCTTTAATTTAAATCTTTACTTATCTCTAGTCCATTAATAATTATCTCTAAACTATTAATAATTATCTTTAATTATTATCTCTTTACCGTTAGTAGTTATCTATAATTTCGAGAAATAAGATTTCCATTAATTAATTAATGCTTATCTTGTCAAATTGAATTCCATTTGATAAGAAACGTGCCTTATCTATTTAATAATTATCTCTAAACTATTACTAATTATCTCTAATTCATTAATAATTATCTCTAATTATTATCTCTATTAATTAATGCTTATCTTGTCAAATTGAATCCCCTTTGCTAAGAAACGTGCCTTATCTATTTATTAATTATCTCTAAACTATTACTACTTATCTCTAACCCATTAATAATTATCTCTAATTATTATCTCTATACCATTAATAATTATCTTTAATTTTGGGAAATCGGATTCCCATTAATTTACTAATTAATGCTTATCTTGTCAAATGGAACTAGTGCGTATCTCGTGCGTATATAAATTTAGAGAATATTATAATTTGACATGCATTAAGATATATGGGAGTTTAATACATACGAACATTATTCATCATAAAATGTTCGTCATGAAAAAATCACATATTATTAAAAAAAATTTTGTACACAACATTATGAGTTTGATTACTGGGTAACTCGTTGTGAGGAGCACGGACCGACGCGGGCTGCAGAAACTGGGCCTCCCTCAACTGGGCTCCTTTGCTGGACTTCTCTCTTGGGTTGTAGATGGTGATTGTTGTCGAAAAAATTGCCCCCACACTTGGACGACTGATTAAGTTTTTCATTTCTATTTTATGTAGATAATTATTTTATATTCCCAGCTATGCTGATAAAGTATATTTTTAGTTTGAATCATGTAACTTCCTTAATAGTGCGTTGAATAATTTATAGATAGAAAATAATTTAATGATTCCCTTTAATTTCTCTCCCCTCTTCCCACTTATTTCATATTCTATATTTCACAATTTTTTCAAATAAAACAAAAAATTACATACAACAATTGTTAGGTTGACCATCAAATAAATCAAAATAAGATTGTAAATAAACGTAAATTTTTCCTTAATAATTTATATATATATATATATATATATTTAAAATAATAATTGCAGTGTTTCAGGTTCGACGCAAAATTTGTTTGTTTGTTTTTTATTAATTGTTTATGAATAGGCTATCTATCTTAATTTTTGTTCAAAGTTGGTCTATTTTTTATTTATATCATCAAATATATGATGTTAGTCATCATTGGACATAAACTCATAGAATGTGATGATAAATATGCATTTAGATTTTAACATATGCAATATAAATATAAAAAATACATAGAATATATAACGCAAATTATTAGTCGGAAAAAGTGTGTATTTTAACATATGCAATATACATAGAATATATAACGCATAATTTAATACATAACTGCTCATAGGATAGTTACAATTGTTGGTCGGAAAAAGTGTGTATTTTATATATTTATTAGCAAATTTTTATATGTTTAATCTTATTGCACTTATTATGTTTCGACTTATTTAGTTATTATATGGATTTAAGTACTATACATTTATGATTTATTTTTAGGATAATGAAGAAGAAAATAAAAGAAAAAGATTAATTGGGCTAAGAAAGAAAACATAAGAAAACATGAGTATGGCTTGAGGTGACTTGTGCATACATTCAAAATGATGATTTGGAGACTTTAATGGGCTGGGGGTTTTGGGCAACTAAGCCCTGATCAATCAAATATTAACATATGGATTGGAATAGAGAAGAAAAAAGCGTGGGGAGCAAAAAATATTCACGCACTCAGGGAGAAAAATGATATATTTGTACAAGCCTTGAAGAATTATTTTGAGCAGGCTAAAAGACACAAACGAATATAACTTACGACAATGTCATTTTAACGGGACACAATTGTTTATCAAAGGATTGTCCAATATACAAAGATTTCTAATACCAAATTACATATACCCATCAGAAAACAAAAGTTACCGGAACAAAAAAAAAATACCTTGAAACCACAAATAAAAAAAATGAAAACCATTCATATCATATAATATGAAAAATATCTAAAAAAACATATACAAAAACCAATAAAAAAACAATAAAATCGCAAAATAAACAAAAAGAAAAATAAAAAAATACATTCGTGTAATCAATAGAAATTGAAATATTCATAACAAATATACAACATTCATACACAAAATTAAACTACCAATAAACCCACAAATTGTTATCTTTGGACCAAGTGGGTTTCTTAACCGAACCACCAGGCTCGAACGCAACTGGCGGCAGCACGGCGAGGCGCAGGCATATGAATCTCGGACCCTATT